TGCCCCTCTTTTGAAAGATTAAGTAATTCTCTTTAGATACTGCGAGCAAAGTTGTTTTGTTAAAACTTAAGACAGAGATGTGTTGTATGTACATTAACGTGAGTATAAATTAGATAATTAGTTTAAAAATAGCTGTTATTAAATCAAATCGGAAGAGGAACAGGCCATTGTAAAATTTATAATTAGCAAAAAAGCAATTTTAAATTAGATTAAATTTTGAATAAAACTATCAATTTCAAGAGCAGCCAAACATAAGTTCCCCTTTTTTTAGCTGCAGGAAAAAAAAATGGAATACATAATTCAAAACTGTGCCAAACTAAGGCTTTTTTTTTCCCCTCCTAACTTTAAAAAGCTGTTATTATAGTTGTATTAGAAAGAGTAATAGAATTCTCCCACTCAGAATGCAGATGAAAGAAAAGATAATGAACACCGCAGTTTTTGTTCTTCATGATTTAATAATAAATGCATAGCGGAAAAAAACCTGCAACTTTTACGAAAACGTACTGTATTTTTCTATTATTTTAAAATTAATAAATACGTATGATTAACTTTTTAAACGTTATAAATGCCTACAGTAATAACATCTTCTCTTTTAAATTAAAACGATTTTTTCACTCGCATTTTTTAAGGCTGTTTCTTCAAATTTAAAACGTCTATTTTTTTTACTGTGAATTGCGCCTTTACATTCAGTGCCAACCTTAAGAAATAGACGAAACCAAATGGCTTTTCTCCCTCTGATGACGCATTACCGGCTGTCACCTTGACTACATCCGGAGAAGTAGGGACGATTTGCAGAAACTTACAATGAATTGGCTATTGCAGTGTGTATAATTCTCAAGAAAAAGTTGGTTGTAGCGCCTCATTTCAAAAATTAGAATTTTTAGATATTTTTTTTCAAACTGAGATTGATTTTTTGTAAATTTAGCATATTTATCAAGATAATTAGCGTTCCATATATTATCAGCTCATTGCATGCTTTCAGCTAGCTATTTTTTGCCTTTTCCAATGCAGTATCTAAGGAATTTGTACTACTCTTTAATCTATTTTTAAATCTGAAATAATAGCCCAAATTTACAACCAGAATTTTCGAGTGTCATTTTTTATGCTTTTTATTGATGTAAATAAGTAAAAAAAGTAAGATACCTAAAATGAATTTTTGGAGTGGTGCTAAAATTCTAAGTGGTGAGGCCGTGTTAAAGATATACGTGGCACAGATATAGCATACGCCGAATTTATTTTGTTTAAGTGTTTAAGGAGTACTCTTACTTTCAATGTATTTGCACAATACATCATAGTGATAAAAACTTTTAACACCTAATAATTTTTAACATTATTCGAATATCAAAAATTTTAAATTAATAATGGGTTTATGCCTAACGGTTTAGTGATAATTTTTTTGATTTATTCAGTTCGGCATAATTCTGTATATTTACTGGAATTTATTTATTATCCCAAAGGGCAGTACCAGAAGGCTATTATTTTCGACAACGGATTTTGCGCTGTTTTATATAAAAGTCTGTTATTTGCAAAATTGTTGCCACCAATGTTATCGCCATTGATTATATTTAAGAAATTTATATTGAATATCTCTGAATACATGTATGTTTCTCGCACTGTGAAAAAACGACGGTATCTAGAGCCATAAATTTGAATACGTAATCCTCCACCCGAATTCGAATTTGTGTTAATCCATTTTGAATTTGTAACTTTTAACGAATTTTTGATTCAGACCACTACAACGAGTTCAAAGCGAGCATGGCAAACACTGTACGGAACAGACATTTTTTTTCTCAAGCGCGGAAATTCTAAAGGATGCTGTTCAAATATTTTGTGCTAAAAATTAAAAAAAAACCAATCTAAAAAAAACAACACTAGGGAGAAAAATTATAAGAGTTGGCCCCGGGCCTCCTCTCATTTCCTTCCTCGCCCTCGTCGCCTTCTCCACAAATATTTTTTAATGCTGTTGAATTGAATTTTGGTGGTTTACGTGAAGAACAGGATTGTATTCAATAATAGAGGGTAACACACAAAGTTAAAAACGTCCCTTGGCATAAATAAATCTGCTGCTTCCAGATTTATTATTATTTACTTCATTACACTGGTGAAAAGTTATGCTCCGAAATTTTATTATTAATACAATAAAAAATCATCTTGTGATGTTAATAATTAAGGCTATATGATTAAATAAATTGCCTCGTCGTGAAACGTTATAATTATTTCAAAAACCTAATGGACTGAAAAGGCTCTAAATTAAAATCTATATATATATATCGGATCTTGTTAATTTTGCTTTATTTGTGTCAAAGCTCATGTGCTGCCATTGATTAATTTTACTTTAATGTATTTGTTCTCAAGTTCATAACTTTTGTGTTTAGTGGTTACGTTTTACCAAAGTAAACGTGTTTAAAGAGTACGGCATGAAAAGAAGGCGCAAAATGCAGTAAAAAGTGCTTTAGAGAGATATATGAAATCTTATTTGAAAGAACTGTGACGGTCTACATCTCATCAACTATGCAACATATCACATATAATAATTAAAAACAATTATGTGATACAAACGCCAAAGGTTTCAGTGTTAAAGTAAACCAGATTGTCCCTACTCTTCCTTGAGGACATGTGGGTGACGTGTGCCCCACCCACTGGGTTAGTCTGTCTCTTATAAGGTCCATGGTGCCGAAACGATTACATCATCACTCCTCACTTCCTTTTTCAGAGGGAAAAACTCTATGAACTAACCCTTCTCTTCTAAGTCCTGTATTAGATGAATAAACATTTAGACTTACATGGGAACATTATAAACTATCTTCTGCATATTTAAAAAGTTAAAAAATATGTAACGTAATTCTGTAAAAATATTGAACGTTTTTAATAAGCTACATCATGAATTAAATGCATTTTTATTCAACTCCATCAGATTAAAGAGTAAAAAAATTAACTCCATCAGATTAAAGAGTTAAAAAAAAAAAAAATTATTTTTAAGAACTGCATCTATTGCTTTTAAATAGTTTAGCTTGCTAATTAATGATAGATAGATTAAAAATGAGAGAATAATATTTTACATTTTCCGAATGGCAAGAGACTCGAATGAAAAGTTAAACAGCACATTAAATTGAAAATTATGTTTGAAAAGGGAAAAAATATATACCGTAATTCTATAAAAATATTTAACGTTTTTAATTAGATATATCATGATTTAAATGCATTTTTATTTAAATGAATCATCTTCAAAAGTAAAAAAGTACTATTTTTCAGAACTGCATTATTGCTTTTAAATAGCTTACATTGTTCATCAATAACAGAGAGGTTAAATCTAAAATATAAATCTGACATTTTTGCTAATGGCAGCAGACTTGAATGCAAAATGAAAGGAAACAAAATCGTGTTTCGAGACTAGTAGACCCTTCTGGACTAACAAGAAGTTTTTCTAGATGTTCTTTCCTTTTTTAAAGGAACTTGGGGGGGGGATAAATAAAGTAAAGATGTGTTTCTGCTTCATTAGGAAAAATGCTATTCTTTAAAATAACTCTTAATTCTTAATGAAATTTATGGGTAAAATTTTGGATAATTAGAGTTTTTTTAAATCAAACTATTTAAAACCCCTTTAATCACAAACACAGCCTTTTGAAACAAATACAAATATATGCTAAAAATGTATTTTCCAAATTAAGAAACTTTCATTCATAATATTACATATGCTTTGTTATATTTACAAAAATAGCTTTCAATACGTACATAATTAAACATGCTTTTATATTTGCAAATATCTACTTATATCCCCGTCTATATACATATGTACAAATGTGCACTTATAATATACACACATACATTACAAATCAGTAATAAATAAGTGATACCCAAAATGAAAACACAATAACAAAAATATTTTTTTTATTGTTTCACAGACTAGGAATATTATAGAAATGCAATTAATTTTATGAAAATATGCTGAAAAACAAATCTAGTACAATCAAAACAATACTTTAGAACCACACAACACATCAAATAAAAATATGCATAATAAATATTTTAATGTTTCTGTTAACTGCGGTGTTACAGTTTACAGTTTCTTTTAGTGAAAAATTTGAAAAGCGTAATAAAAATTATGATAAGAATTTATTATAGAATAGGGATAGTTTTAGTTTTAGAGTAACATGGCCAAAAATTTTCATTTTGAAAGCTTTCCTGAGTATTTCCTTCTTTCCTTCTAATAGCAAACTTGCTTTTTTTTTTTTTTTGCTTAATTTTACATGTTTGATTAAAATCGAAACCAAGCTGTTTGCTGACTTACTCGGTGGCATTTCTCTATTAGTTAGAAAATTTTTGACTTGCTTTGATTTTAATTGGCGAATTCATTTTAAAAAACTCATTTTATAATAATTTGATCACATTTAATATTTGATTTTCATATATTTTGATTTATTTCTAATATTTTGACCAAATTGTTGATCACATTAAGCGAAGTATTTTCCACGTTTCTGTATACAAATGGATGGAACTTTTACTGATCGACAATAGTATCTGAATCATACATAATATTTTGATCACATTTGATATTTGATTTTCATATATTTTGATTTATTTTCTAATATTTTGACTGAGTTATTGATCATAATAAGCGAAGTATTTTCCACGTTTCTGTATACCATTGGATGGAACTTTGGCAGATCGATAATAGTATCTGAATCATACATAACTGTGATAACATTAAGTGGATTTACTGTACAAGAATACTGAGAACACCTGATTTCAACCCACATAAATTATGTTATTGATTAAAATAAATATTTACTACGGGAGACTTGACTTTTTATCATAATTTCACCATTTTTGTAACTTGTATACCAAAAACATGCATTAAAAAGAAATAATTTATAATTCATATTAAATAACTATAATACTAAAAGAAACTAAAATACATTAACAGTTTGCATAGCCACTGTGGTACATAATAAAATTATTAAGGGAAATAATTTATAATTTATATTTAAATATCTATAATACGAAAGAAACTTGAATTAAAAACTTACACATTAATATTTATTCCAAGAAATAAAACCCCCATTTAACACTAAAATTTTATACACATTATTTTTTAAAATAAATTTATAATTAATTTACCAAATAGTTTCACTTCAGAACTCTAATTTTATTGAAGAAGCAGAGTATAGATATAATTCACTTTTAAATGTTTGCATGTATTATAAATCCTCTTCACTATCAGATAGAAAGTCATAATCTACTAAACTGGGTATCTGTTTACATGGAGATTCAACAGAATTTTTATTACATCTCTCTTTTTCACAATTATTACTTACAGAGATTTCCTGTGTTTTAATCTCTTCTGAAGAATCATTAACACTTGCTGCAGACGATAACGTACTAGTATTTTTAATGTCTTTACAATTTTCCGCTGGTTGGCAAGTATCCAAAACAATACTGCAATTTCCAGATGATAATTCATAATCATCAACAATATTTTTGCAATTTACAGATGATAATTTACATGTTTCTACAACATTTTTGCAAACGTTTGTATTATTAGTAACAAAATATAATGGTTTATCCATGGAAGGTAAATTCTGTATATGAAACTGTTGTTCTTTTGGCTTTTCTCCCTCAAGTATTGGAGTAGGTATTGGAACAAATTCTTTATTTGGAGTAGCATTTACAACATCTGAAAAGATTCAAAATAATTTTGTAACAATGAAAATAACTTCAGGTTTATTTAATAGTGTAATAAATTAGTACATAATTCAGAAAAGAACAGAATTTTTGAAGTAAAAATAAAACTCATAGTAACATACAGGGTGATTGTAATTAAAGTTAAGGTTTCAAAACGCTCTAACTTTAAAACAATCAGACAGAATGATTTGATATTTAACAAGAACAATCATGAGGCAATGGATTTGGCGAAGGAAAAAAATAGTTCTAAAATGTGCCGAAAGATGGCGCTGTCATAGAAAAAGGCCTTGTGTTCTTAAACATAGGATGGAGTTCTTAAACATTGTTCTTAAACAAAAAAGATTGTGCATGCAATACACTGGCGTGCTTGTAGAGGCAGAAAAATTTCATTCTTTAATAGCAATGCATATTGCTGCCCAGTGATCCAGCATGTCACTGGACCTGTAGAACTTAACTACTCGAAGAAGTACGCAGCGAGCATAAATGATGCAGAAAATCGGCACCTTACCGTAACTTTTGGTGAATGCAATGGGTTCTCTTTGACAGGGTGCAGGTTTTCTGGTTCCTAAATTCGGCATTTGAGATTATTCATTGTAAAATTCCAAATTAAAATGCACTTCATCTCTCTAGAGGATATTCTAATGCCATCCTGAATTCGTCTCAAAGCCAGCAACAAACTGAACTTAGAACTGAAATAAATCAAGCATTAAAAATCATGTAGAACCAACCAACCGCTGCATAGCGACAGTTTGTAAGGATAATATTAGAGAATATTTCTCAAGATTTCATGCACAGTTGAACATGGCTTACCAATACCTCTGTTACATGCAGACTACCTGATGTTAGCCTGAAAGTTTGAAGCTGTGTCATCTACCACCTGAAGTGCACGCTCCTATACTGCTTCCGCAGAAACGGGTTTTCTTCCTCTTTCAGGATGAACAGAAAATGACTCTGTTTCTTCAAATTTCGTTATCATTTTCCAAAGGTTTTAATGTTGTTACGGATTCGGTACTTAAAAAGCTAATGTTAGTTCAATTATAAATTAATTGGTTTTATTTCCCGCGCAGTGCAGCGCGTGACGAATATTAAAAGAAGAAAGCTAAGCCGGAAAATTAAAAATACAAGAGCGCGTGCATTAAATAAATAAATATCTCTTTTTGATTTCGAGAAAGTACTGGAAAATTCTAGCGCGTGATTTTAAAATCTTATAAAAGGAGGAAAACATCTCAGTTTGTAGTAGTTGCTTAGTTTGTTGTTGTTTAGAAAACTGCTCTTGTTGATTGTAGCGAATTCGCGGATTAGCGTTCTTTAGCTGTTTTGAATTACGTTCTATTGGACATTTGAGTAGTTAAAGATAACTACTGTGAGATATTGTAATACTGCATGATAATTTGAGAAAATTTAAGCATTTTTGTTGTGATAATAATAAATTTTTGTTCATTTTTCATCGGACTTGTGCATTCATTTCATAACGAACCCGTACGCACGCAACAATTTTTGGTGTCAGAAGTGGAATTTGAATGCCAATAACAAGAGCGATGGAAGAGCAATTAAGGCAGTTGATCTCAGCCTTTGCCTCGTTAAAGAAGAAATGAAATTGGGCCAGGAATCCGTTAAGGAACGAAATGAAGCCGTTCAAGCTGGTCAAGAAAGATGAAAATGTAAAGAAGAAATGAAAAGAGAAATACCTGCATAAAGAAAAATAAAATGAAAGAAACATTAAAAAATTTTTAATAAATTTGAAGCTATGGAAGGCAGAATAGACACGGTTGAAAATAAAGTTGGACAAATTGAAGAAAAAGTTTCTTCCGTAAAAGTCAATTGAAGAAAGAGTTTCTTCGGTGAAAGAAGAAATAGAAGAAAAGTTTCTTCTGTAAAAGAAAATATAGAAGGGAGTTTCAAGCCCTTCTTGTGGAGGAACGATTGAAGAAGATTGTGCGTCCAACCAAATCGAACAACAAATGAGGGTTTCTGCCGTTGCCAAAGAAGTTGAAACTTTAAAGAAATTCGTAGCGACGGCAGGGAGCAAGAGTGAGGATTTTAAATTCTTACCGATGCCTGCTCGTCCATCTCTGAAACTATCCACATATGATGGGAAGACCATCCTGGCAAGTGTATAAGACACAATTTTCTATCGTTGCGGATGCGAATGGATGGGATTCCCAAGCTAAGGCCTGTCATCTCGCCGCTTCTCTGAGAGCAGACGCAGCGGATATCCTGCAGACGCTTCCCGAAAACCAAAGGCTTAGACTTCGAAGCTCTATCCGGCGCATTGGAGCTGCGCTTTGGCGAGAAAGTGTTTAAAAGACTACAGCAGGCTCCAATTAAAATCCTCGTCAACAGAAGCCACCGAACACTTCAGGAAGCTCGCCACGGATGTTGAAAGGCTGTCCCATCTCGCCTTTTCGGAGTGCCCGACAGAAACAAGGGAAATCCTGTCCCTGCAATATTTATCGATGGCATCCGGGATCCTGAAATACAGAAAGCACTACGAATGGCGGATGTTAAAAGATTTGAGAAGCGCTTTAGTGTACGCCATGAAATTCGAGGCAGCCCAGCAGGCCACTCGTCGAGACCGCCACCCAGTCAGAGCTGCTCAAGTCCAAGAGCCAGGGAATCAAGTCACCGCTCGTCTAGACGATTTAACTAGACAACTGAACGCCTTGAGACGGAATATTAGTAAGAAGAAACGGCCGTTAAGTACTGGAACTGCGGTGCTGAAGGACACATACGACGAAACTGCAGAACACCCCAGGGCACGGATGTTAAGACCGCTCCTAGCAAGCAGCAGGGAAACTAATTAGTGGCCATCTCGCGGGGCGGAGGTTGCCAGATAATGAAAAGCCCCAGTTTAAAGCGCTTCAGATTTCTGCAGTGAGAGGCGGCAGTAATGGACTTTTCATAATAGGACATATTAATGGAGTTCCCTGCAATATGACGATAGATACAGGAGCCAACGTTACCATCATCCGAAAAGATTTGGCTCAACAACTGTGAAGCAAACTTATCTGGACGCCGCCCTGCGTTACCCTCCAGACTGTGTCCGGTGACAAGATCGACATCGACGGAAAAGTAAACGTTAACATCACGTTTGGAAGTGCCGCTTACCATCACACGGCATATGTAGCAGAGATCACTGATTCTTGCATACTCGGATTGGACTTTCTAAGGAAATACAATTTTTCCTTGGACTTTAAAAATAACGAATTGCATTCTACATCTGAGGACATAACGTTATTTGGAATTAATGATGAAGAAGTTAAATCTGTCCACAAATCATAGCACAAGACAATATCACAATACCGGCAAGAACAGAAATTTTACTTCCTGGATCCTATAGCCGAAAACAGAGAATTTCCGCTACGGCATCATAGAATATCCCAATAACTGTAATAGCCCGAAAGGAGTACTAGTAGCCTCAACACTCGTCGACCTATCCGAGAACGGTTATCCCGGTGAGAGTTGCCAATGTAACTGAGAAGGCGAGAGTTATTAAGAAAGGCGACGTGGTTGCAGCATGTACTCCAGTAACCAGCGTTGAAAGAAAGAGCAACATCCCAGAATCCGTGTCCTCAGAGAGCATTACATCGGAGTTATTGCAGAATGCGCAATTAAACGATGAAGAGAAGAATGCTGCCGATCGCGTCATTAAAGATCTTCAAGTTGTTTTCTCCCGCTCGTCTTCTGACGTGGGTCGAACTAGTTTGACACAACATAGAATCGATACTGGCGATCATCCCCCGATCAAGCAACATCCAAGACGTCTACCGTTTGCTAAACAGGAAGAGGTACGAACACTTTAAAAGATATGGAAGAAAGGCGATGTCATCGAGCCTTCAGCAAGTCCATGGGCATCTCCCATCGTTCTAGTCAGAAAGAAAGACGGCTCAACAAGATTTTGCGTTGACTATCGCCGGTTGAATGAGGTTACGAAGAAAGACAGTTACCCTCTTCCTAGAATTGACGACATTCTAGACACTCTTTCTGGAAGCAAGTGGTTCTCAACACTTGATTTAAAGAGTGGGTATTGGCAGGTAGAAATACACCCTGATGACCGAGAAAAGACGGCATTTACTACGGGACAAGGGCTTTGGCAATTCAAGGTGATGCCGTTTGGACTGTGTAATGCGCCGGCAACATTCGAACGTCTTATGGAGACTGTTTTGAAAGGCCTTTCCTACGAAGCCTGCCTGATATACCTGGACGACATCATCATCGTCGGAAAGAGTTTTGAAGAACATTTAGAAAATCTTAGGAAGGTGCTTCAGAAACTGAAAGAAGCCAATCTGAAGCTGAGTCCCGCTAAATGCAAATTGTTCCGAAAGGAAGTGACTTACCTGGGACATGTCATCTCTGCAGAAGGTGTGCGCACGGATCCTGAAAAGGTATCAGCGGTTAAATCCTGGAAACGTCCCGAAAATGTCCATCAGCTGAGAAGCTTCCTAGGGCTTTGCACCTACTATAGGAGATTCGTGAAGGACTTTTCTTCCATCGCAAGACCCCTTCACAAGCTGACAGAGAGCAAGCAAACGTTCTTGTGGACAAAAGAATGCGAGGATGCATTTAACAACTTAAAGGAAGCTTTAACATCTGCTCCAATCCTGACGTATCCTCAGCTCGACAGACCATTTATTCTCGACACGGACGCGAGCAATGAAAGTGTCGGTGCTGCGGTTTTGTCCCAAGAAATAGACGGCCAAGAACGTGTAGTAGCGTACTGGAGCAAGTGCCTGTCTAAACCGGAGAGGAATTACTGTGTCACCAGGAAAGAGTTGCTCGCCATAGTCAAAGCTGTAGAACATTTCCATCATTATCTATACGGCAGAAAATTCCTCCTCCGCACGGACCATGCATCATTGCCTGGCTTTTAAATTTCAAGAATCCTGAGGGTCAAATAGCCAGGTGGATACAGAGACTCCAAGAATATGACATCACTATCCGTCATCGTAAGGGATCATCACACGGGAAACGCCGACGCCCTGTCTAGAAGACCTTGCCAGAAAGCTGCCGATATTGTTCCAGGGTGGAAGCGAAATACGAGCTGCTGACTCCGGTCGCAAGACAAATTACAACATCAACATCGGCTGATCGAGAACCGTGGAGTGATGATGAAGTCAGGAAAGACCAGCTGGAAGACCGCGACATTAAACCCATAATTGATTTAATGGAGTCATCAAACAGAAAACCTACCTGGCAGGACATTTCTATCTGTAGTCCTACAACCAAACAATACTGGGCACTCTGGGATTCACTTCACATTCGAAACGGCGTCTTATACCGGAAATTCGAATCGGATGATGGGAAGACGTTCCGATGGCAACTGATACTTCCAAGATCCCGGATTCCTGATGTCCTTAAAGAACTACATAACAGCCCTACAGGAGGTCACTTTGGAATAATGAAGACCTTACAGAGAGTTCGTGAGCGCTTTTACTGGAATAATGCAAAGGATGACGTGCAAAAGTGGTGCCGATCTTGCGATGCCTGTGCAGGTCGGAAAGGACCGAGGAACGCAGCCGAGGCAAGCTGCAACGTTACAACGTAGGGGCGCCTTTTGAACGTATCGCCTTTGACATCCTGGGACCTCTGCCACGAACTGCTGATGGCAACAAATACATACTCGTTGTCATTGATTACTTCACCAAGTGGCCTGAAGCGTATCCTATTCCTGATCAAGAGGCTGTTCACAGTAGCTGAGGTGATGATACAGCACTGGATTTCCAGGTTCGGAGTGCCTCTTCAGTTACATTCCGATCAGGGAAGGAATTTTACCTCGGTAGTAATCAAAGAACTATGCAAACTACTCGGCATTGACAAAACCCAAACGACGCCATTACATCCCCAGTCGGACGGCATGGTAGAGAGGTTCAATCGAACCATCCTTAATAACCTCTCATTAGTGGTTTCCAGAAACCAACAGGACTGGGACAAGAAATTACCACTCTTTTTACTGGCTTACCGCAGTGCTGTCCACGAGACTACCGGCTATTCCTCCATCACAGATGCTCTTCGGTCGTGACCTTCGTCTGCCTTGTGATCTATTGTTTGGCCGCCCTCCGGATGCTCCTTCATCGTCTGAGGAATATATTCAAGATCTCCAGGCCCGGTTTGAAGTGATGCACAACTTTGCACGAGAGCGAGTCAAACTTGGCGACGGAGAAGATGAAGACCCGCTACGACACAAGAGCTACTGAACATCAATTCCACGAAGGAGACAAGGTGTGGTTGTGGAATCCGACTCGACGGAAAGGACTTTGTCCGAAATTACAGTCACCTTGGGATGGCCCGTACACAGTCCTAAACAGGCTGAATGACGTCGTGGTTCGGATTCGTAAGTCTTCGAACTCTAAACCTAAAGTCGTTCATTACGACAGGTTAGCTCATTACTATGGCCATAGTACGTAATGTAAATAGTTGTAAATAGTAAGACCACGGTCCTTTTTGTTTTTAAATGTGTATTTGAGTATTTGTATTTGTATTTTATTTGATTTAGCATTTTGTATTTGATTTGTTTTATTTATTGCATTTATTGTTCATGTTGTTTATTATTGTAATGTAATGCTTATTAATGCATTTATGCCACAGTTGTAAGTTTAGCTTCCTGTCCAGGGATTGTACTGCCCGGGACGTGCAGTCCTTGGGAAGGGGGCAGTGTTACGAATTTGGTATTTAAAAAGCTAATGTTAGTTCAATTATAAATTAAATGGTTTTATTTCTCGCGCAGTGCAGCGCGTGACGAATATTAAAAGAAAGCTAAGCCGGAAAATTGAAAATACAAGAGCGCGTGCATTAAATAAATAAATATCTCTTTTTGATTTCGAGAAAGTACTGGAAAATTCTAGCGCGTGATTTTAAAATCTTATAAAAGGAGGAAAACATCTCATTTCGCAGTAGTTGCTTAGTTTGTTGTTGTTTAGAAAACTGCTCTTGTTGATTGTAGCGAATTCGCGGATTAGCGTTCTTTAGCTGTTTTGAATTACGTTCTATTGGACATTTGAGTAGTTAAAAGATAACTACTGTGAGATATTGTAATACTGCATGATAATTTGAGAAAATTTAAGCATTTTTGTTGTGATAATAATAAATTTTTGTTCATTTTTCATCGGACTTGTGCATTCATTTCATAACGAACCCGTACGCACGCAACAATATTTATTGAATGTAAATTTTGAATTTCAAAATAATGTTCTACTTTGAAACCTTTGCTAACTTTCTTAGATGAACTCTTAAAATGTGGTTGAGTTATTCTTTGCAAAGTTTTATGCGAAATAACAAAACGAATATAAAGAGCATTTTTACTACAAGTTTTTCAAAGTAAAATGCCTTCTGGTTGACGGTATTTGAAACCCTATTTTTCCCATTAAAGACATTCCTATCCTTTCATTTTAAGTCTGCCACAACATTTAACGATTTTCTGATAACTACTTTCACCACTAGGCAGCTTTGAAATAGGATTTTTAATTCTGGACACGTTGTATTTTAATTAGTAAAGGTTTTCTTTCCATGAATTTGATACAAATGCATGCTGAGAATGATAGATACTTGGGTATTAGCTGGAATCGCCAATAAACAACAAGTGATACAACCCATGGCTTTGCTTTTCTTATAGCATTACAGCAGCCTTAAAAGCAGTTTTAGATATTTCTAGAAAGGTGTTTTACAACACGCCTTTTTTGGCACCTCACTTTTTTGACCATATCACATCTGTATCCATTTCAGCTTTTCAGATGTTGCCACCAAATGTTAATTGCCATGTATTATTTTTGAAGAAATAATACAGCAAATATTAAAAAAATATGGCAACACAATAAAAAGGGCATTGTCACTAAATGTTATCTGTATATATTATTTTCATAGAAATAATAATAAAAGTATGGCAATATGAATAAAAGAAGTTGCCACCAAATGTATTATTTTTAAAGAAATAATATAGTGAATATAAACAAAAGAATGACAATATTTTATCAAAAATTCTAATAAGTTATCTGATATAAAATATTTTTAACTTCCATATACCAGTTTTTTACCATTTGATGAAGGTTAAGATATTTAACTTTTTTTAAAATTCAATCTGCCTGTTACTTATTAGCAAAATAAGTGACTTAAAGCAATAAATGCAGTAAGCATGAAGAGTTAAAGCTTTTAGAGCTTGTGAAAAGCTGATACTTTTCAGGATCATATAGTCAATACAACATGCTTTTGAATTCTACAGAAAAGTCAGCACATTTCAGTATATATTTAATCTTTTTTATATTTATGTAATATCAATAAAACGCTATCTTTTAAATAATGTATTTAAACAATTTAGCATATTTTATTTGAATTCCATGTCCATTTTGGCATGTTGAAGTGCCATAATCTTTATGCTGAATATGATATTTGATTCTACTTCAATTGCACAAACATTGCAGGATTTGAATAAATTAATAACAAAAAGCATATTAAATCATTCCCTAATATTAATAATTTTGCCACAATATGAAATAATTTAGAAGAATTATGATATTTACATATCATTTCATTGACCATGAAAATGTCACCAAGCAGAGTGATTTAGTCTCAATTATAGATAAGAATGATGTTACATCACACTCATAACACGCATTTTTGTTTAATGTAACTCTTACTGATACCTCACCTTTCATTTTTACATACAAGAATTATAAATTTACTGTTATTGCCGTATTTTTTGTTGTATGTGTGTGTGTGGGGGGGAAGAGTGGGTCTGAGAGTTGCAGAAATTTGTAGCTGTATTTCAATTCAATTACAACTGGTTGAGAGAATTAATTTCTGTTGAATGGGAAAAAAGAACAGCTGGCAAAAAAATAGCAATTGGTTGGAACAATTACAATCACCTGCAGAAGTTAGTATTCATAATGTTTTAATCACAGCTTCCAACAAAATAAGAGAAGTTAACAAAATAACAGAAATTGATAAAAGCCTTTTTAAAAAGTGCAAAAGCGAAGCAAGTCAAATAATTCCACAGGACTGACTATTTTATGATTATTCGAGATTGATGAATATTTTTCTTAAAGGGTTGCACGCAGAAGTGCAGTTCAGAATTCCAAAGGAAAGACTGGTGCAGATTTACTAGAATTTTTGCCAAATTTCATGGTAGTCAACATTCATGAATGATGAGATAATACATAAGCACTGATATTGTTATTCTTCAATAATTGATAATATTCATTTAATGATTTTTCTCATGTGAAAGGAATGACATGTTAAAAAAAAAAAAGTAAACTATAGAAGTAACTGAATGAATTGTAGATGCATACACACATAAATAAATATACAAATAAAAACTACACATTAATATTCAACAAAATACATTCTACTGAGTCACATTCCATAATTTTATTTTTTGTTGACTTTGCAATTTTTAAAAATAATGCATGAAAAATAATGATAAAAATATAACCTTAGCACTCATTTAATGGCTCGATTTTGTCCATTTTTTTTACGCTTGTGGTGGTATTTTTTTTTTACATTTACTGGTTATAAAAAGACTGAAGAAATATTAAACCATAATAAACTTACCTGCTTTCTTTCTCTTGTATGGGCGATTTGTCCAGGGAATACTATGTAATGTACCAGGCGTTAACTGTTTTAGTTTACGAACAAAAGCTTTAAATTCTTTTTCAAGTTTTACTATTTTCAGTCTACATTCTTCAACATGCTGATCTGAATAGCAAGTCACCTAAGTAAAGTAAAAAAAAAATATAATTAATGTAATTTTATTTTTAATAGCTCCAACTAACAATATACAAGAAACTAAATATTCCAAAGATTATATTTAATTTCAACTCAAGTGATCCAAATTTAGATTCCAGCTGATGAAATGGCTGGATCATCCATGAAAGCTCTAAAAAAAATCTGAACATATTTTAAACATAGCCGTCTGTGAAATTTTAACTTTAATCATTCATTTTTATGCAGTATATGCTGATGAACTTCTAAGTGGAGAAATATGAAATTCTTGTGTTCTAAAAAATGTCATCATCAACCATAATAATAATAATGCAAACTTTATAAATAGGCCAGAAGAAATTTCGATAAAAACTTATTTTTGCAATTTGTATTTCTTTTGAATAACAGTAACAGGACTGGAGTTTTTCCAGAGAAACTCGGGGGTTGGGGGCACCAGAAAAGGAAAGAAATTGGAAGCACTGAAAGAAATTGGAAAGAATTAAACAACAATGCAGCAATGAAGCTGTTAAATGGATAAATTTACAAATAACAATTTAACTTGATTGGAAATAAATATTTTATTATTTCTGCTACAAAATTCAAACTAATTAAATAACCTTTCCCTAGAATTCCATATGATAAATCTTTAAGCTTATTAGATACATAGTCATGATTTCTATGAATAAAATATAAACATAATACTGTCAAAAGTCGTTAATTCGGACACCCATAATCCGGATGCTCTATATCGGACTCAACTAAACTTTCTCGCATGCGTCGCGTTCACGATGCGCACAGGCGTTACGAGAGCGCGTAAGACCCTACGGCGAATATGTTTGTGGCATGCGCGTTTAATGGAACGGAGTTATACGCTAGCTAAGTTCTAATTCATTTAAGTTGCAGATTGCGTTGTCCTAATATTCGAATTGGATCCGGCTTAGTATTTTTTGCAGACTGTTCGAGCAATTTTATAAAGTACGCTTGAACTGCGTTATGTCAAATAGAATTTCGATATAATTTACACAAGCGAAAGTGGTTGAAATCCGAAATGTTTCAATTTCAGCTGTGCGCGAGGGGAGGGGCAGAAACGTCATTATTAGATATGCTAGATTAGAAAGATTATGTAAATAAATTCGATATATATTTACTATTCTTAATTGATACAAGCGAAGTTGTTTGAATCGAAATCTGTTTATCATTTCCGCGGCGATGGAAGTCATCTGTCGCATATCCTTATTTCAGGAGATGTTTTATTTATTGGTTTATATCGATTAATAAGTGTAGTATTTTATCCGAGGTACTCCGTCTTTGAAGATTTAATCAATTCCTGTCATTAATTCGCTTCCGATAGTGAAGAAGTGACCCAGAGGTTATGAAACGAAAACATTCGATTGACACATTAGTCGGTATTCTCAACACAGCAATTATAGGACTTGAACAGCGGAACTTTGTAACTAAACAAGAAATTATGTCTGTTTAATAGAATTAAAGAGAAGTATTATCACATGAAACGAAGCATACATGAAGGAAATGTTTATAAAGTAAACAATAAATATTAAGCTTTTCTTTTTGTAAATTTTGATACCCTTTAGATCATAATTGTTCTTTATTTCATAAATTAGGTTTCATATTTTTAATTTTGTAATTTCTGCATGCCATCTTACCAGATTTAAACTGATGATCTATAATCCGGAAAAATCGATAATCCGGAATCGCCGAAGTCCCGAGGAGTCCGGATTAACGACTTTTGACTGTAATGTTAATGTGAAATAAGTTAACCGCTTAATGCCCAAATTTATATGACAAATTATTCCAAAAATCCCTGAATTTTTTTATAACATTTTCATTTTTTCCCGACGAAAACAAGATATTTATTATGATTGATGACATTACCCGAGTAAATTCGGACTTCAATGAAAGCAGGGGAAAAAAAATCTCCACAATCTAGACAAAAGTTATAAGGTATTTCTCCCGTTGTCTTAACGAGCCTTCATGGTGTAGTGGTCTACACGCTCGGCGCGTAATTGAGAGGTCCACGGTTCGATTCCTGTCGAAGGCGTTGCTAGTTTTTCATCTTGCTTGCTTCCAGAAATACCTAATGTCTGTACAGTAGTGCCCGAACTAAAATTGTGTTGGATGATGATTTTCCTCCCCCAGGATTTGGCCATTGGGTCCCCTAAAAACCCCAGTCGCCCTTAAAAAGGGGGAGTATAAAAGGTATTTCTTCCGCCTTCTTAACGAGCCTTCATGGTGTAGTAGTCTGCACGCTCAGCGCGTAATTGAGAGGTCCGCGGTTCGATTCGCGGCGAAGGAGGTTGCTAATTTTTCATCTTTCCTGCTTCCAAAAAATACCTAATATCTCTACAAAGTAATAAAAAACTGTAGTCAAAGTAATAATAGGTAATAAGAGCTAAAGTAAAAAATCAAGTAAATACATTTTACGATCCATAAATGTCATTGACAGTATGCTACAGTCTGAAACATGGTGTAACACATAGCGGCACATCACAATCTGCAACAGCATAATAATCTGGTAATCTGCATCGACTAACAAAACACATTTGCATAAGAGAAAATTTGGTGTAGCACCAGAGTACCTGGGTCTAAGACCCTACCTCTAATCGAAAAATTGAACTTGCAGTTCATTTATAATGCGGCCATGTCACCGACTGCAGCTCAGGGTCATGGAGAAACCAATCACGAAAGCCGATTGGATCCCTCCCACAGCTAAGAAAACATGTGCATGGCAGAGTGTCGATTGCCAAGAGATATTACAGGGGATGGCATTAACTATCCTTAAAATTTTCAGCACCCGAGTTAACTCGTTGATAGAAAAATCGAAACGGCACGTATTCCCAAAATATTTCGAGATGCGGTAGTTAAGCGGTTAAAAAAGTCCATTTTTCTGTAAGTTCTCTCCATAATGAAAGATATTTGCTACTAATTTATCCATTTAAAATTACAAATTAAGTTACTATATGCAATAGCAAAAACTGTTCTGCTTTGTTAGATTGTTTTTAAGTGATATAGATTCAGTTTTGTAACATAATTTTTTAATTTAATTTTGTTTTGTATTTTTTCTAAATAATTATGTTATTTTGCTATATTTATCATTGTTATGAACTGAAATTCATCTTTAAAAACCTATCTAAATTCAAAAGCAGATTTCATTGCAAGAACACAAAAATGCATTCTGCAAGATTTGTACATTGTGAGCAGGAAAGCTCACAATGATTAAATTTGTAGGGATATTACCCACCTTTTCAGTTTTTCTGCGGCTTTTCCCGCAAGAATATCTTTTATAACTTTCTTGACATCTGTAGGGCTTCATACAGACTAATAGATCAATAACTGACACTTTTGTCAGTACCCCTCAAACATTAAAAGAGTAATTCGGCGTGTTATTGTGTCTTAATTATTAAAAGAGTAATTATTTGTTTAATTTCCTATTATTTGAAATATTTCTAAATTTTATCACCATATTCCTAAACTAACTTAAAATTGTGCCATAATAAATAAATTTATGTAATTTTTTTATGTTGACCTTTATACACAATGAGAAATTAAAATCATTTCAGCATCCATTAAGAATAATTAGTAAAAAGGATCTTATGTGATCAAAAATTAAAAAGGGAAAATCCACACAAATTCTGGAATCGGAACAGAATAACTGAATAAAATTCTTACTTATGTTGAGAAAAAAAATTTACCCTTGTATTAATCCTTAAAAATTCAATCAGGAGTTAATTTTAAATAACGTTTTATGAACGCCTAACACAGTGATTCTCAACCTTTTCAAAGCTCCCGCCCCTCCTAAGAAACGAAAAATTTTTCAACGCCCCCCCTTTGTGAAAATCCTGTAATTTAGGTATGGGAAAGGGGGTTTTCTGAATTATAAAAGGCAAAAATTGAAAGTAATTTTTTTCAGTAGACACACCAAATTTGTTTTATTAAAGTCGATAATTTTGCCTGGAAGGTGATTACATCCCTTTGTCAAAACTGAAATGACTAATCCCACAAAAATTGCTTAAGCGATGCTTTATGTTTAAAAATTCTTTATTCTTAATTAAATAATTAAAAAAGAACAGCAAGAGATATGATATAAACAGTAATATCAATGAAACAATCATGTATGATCAATGGCCTCTCTGTGCTTAAGGTTCAGAGTCAGTTTCTGAACATTCAGTACAATATTTTTAGAGAGATGAAGGCGCAAGTCCTCTCTTTCCACGATTTTTGAAGTCAACTTTTTTTTTTTTTTTTTGTAATTAGATCAGTAACTGATTCCTCGCTCCATAGGAAGAAGGGAAGTCAATTAAAAGTTTTGACGATAGTCCACAATCCTGGGTATTTCATTATTTGAAAATTCGATCAGTTCCTTCTGAAGCTGAGCCTCTGTAGTCTCAATATTCATAAAAGGGTTCATGACCCACTGAGGAACTTTCAGGAACAAAATATCCTCAAACCGCCCAGAAAAAAGTCCTTGTGCAAAGACTAAAGATGTTGACAGTAATCATGTGTTTCATCGAACGGGATTCACTGTTCTTATGCAGATCAGACAAGACCGGAAACTAGCTCAACTCGTTGTGACCAAAATTCTGCTTCCACAAGGTGAGTCTTTTCAGGAAGTCTGAAATAATTGATTTTGCTGTGATCAAACTGAGCTGTTCGCCTTGAAATTGCAAATTAATTCCAATGAATTTTGCGAATAAATCGGTCATGTAAGCAACATCAATCTTAAATTGTAACAATTTGCCTTTCAGAGCTACATTTTTCTCTTCGAGGAACTCAAGTACAGAGTCGAAAAGATTCCAGAACCTAGAAAGGCAGACGCCTTTGGAAAGATAGCGAAGACGTCTGGTGAGTAGCCAAAGGAATAATTGTGTTGTTGGTTCTTTTGCGCATCATTCTTAATCTCCATTTAGTTCGCAGCATTCTTAAACTCCACTCTTAGTTCTTCCTTGGTCTCCATTTCCAAGTGGAGCGCTTCTTCGTGAGACTACTCAATTATCTTGAGATCTCTGCAAAATTAGGAAAGTAGCGTCGATACCGGCTACAATTCTGAAGGAAATTGTGCACTTGCTTCACATTCTTTGAAGAGGGAATTTGTTGAATGACTTTTACTTTGGCAAGGTAAGTTTGTTGAATGACTTTTGAGTTCCAGAACTTGTGATATAATGTCCGAGATACTTCACTTTAGAACAAGCAAAATGACATTTGTTTCGATTGGCATGAAGTTTAAATTTTAGGAGTCCATTAAACACTAAGCGCAAGTTTTCGAGATGCTCCTCAAAAGTAGAAAACATCATAATAATATCGTCGAGATAATAAGAGTTATTGACTTAGGCTGACATACAAAGGCAGTTTTGTCTTTGTCCCGAGGGTACATCTTAACTTGATGATACTCTGATTTTAAGTCTATGGCAGACATGCATCTAGTTTGTTTTGCATTATGAAGAAGTTCATCCAGACGACGCAGCGGGCATGGACCACAGAATTCAGTTTCCTGTAGTCAATACATAATCGAAAGTCACCGTTCGGATAGCGAATTAAAACAATGGGTGCTGCGTATGGTGAATCGCACTCTTCGATTATGCCTGATGCAAGTAGTGCATCCATTTCTTTCTTCAAATCCCCTTTCTTGCAGGAGATAGCCTGGAAGGGGTTGTAGCCACTGGAGGTGAATCACCTGTATCGCTTCTGTGCTCGATGTAAAGAGTTGCTTGTCCCCCCCCCCAGAGAGAATGTAGTTCGTATTTTTCTAATAAGGCATTCGATCATTTTAGCTGCTCTTCAGTCAGATTTTCACCTTCGTCTGCACGTAGTAGGCAAGGATTTATTAACATGTCACAGGATTGGACTTGAACTCTTTCAACAAATGGAAAACATTTAATTGGATTGTAACACACACACACACACAAAACAAAACAAAAAAAAAATAACTTTTGCTTTCAAATATTTAGAACTACTTCAGCTTTCTTTAGGAAGTTTTCTCCAATCAGTGTTCGATTACCTATCGCATCAGGAAGAGCTATGAGTATCAAAGAGTGTGTATTTAATTATGGCAAAGCACACTAGGGCTATCTGGCCTAAGGGGAGGGATGCCTTCGTGGAGGACTTTCTGAGGGAAACTGGCTCGTATACACGTTACACATGGGGAAACCACGAAAACACCCATGCAGCTAGCCCGTTCGCGGGATTCGAACATCGGACCGAACTACCAGTGTTCAGCGACCTTACCGCTCGGCCGCTGGTGGGCTCTGAGTATAAAAGAGAAGGTCCGTCCTTCAAAGTCAAATTTCACACAAGTTGTGTAAACGTCTTTCGTTGTTTGACTGCCATCAGCGAGACAAACAGTGCAAGAGGATTTCTCGAACTTTACACCATCTTCTTTCAAGATTTGCTACAGTTTTTTTGCCAGCGCTTGAATGACTTGCTCGACTATCTGCACAAAGTGTGCCATATATTCCGTTGATGGAAGATATTCATCACTGCAGTTATCTTAGTGTTGCCTAACTTTTGTATACAAATATTGTCAAAATGAGCTGAAGGTGAAATAGTGGAGTGCTGACAATCTGGAAATTTTGATTTAGTAAATCTAACTTTGCCACAACCATAGCAAGAGAGGGTTCATTTATCTGCTACATTGGTATATGCCTTCTTTACTTGCGTGGATTTGGGGATACCACCTTCAGAATTGTGCTTTGATTATTATGTAAACAATCGTAAGTGTCCAACATTTCTGCTAATTCTACTGGCGAGCTTAAGTTCGGCCAAATGTCTAAAAAGTGATGTCTAATTTCTTGAGAAACTCTCTTTTTCATCTGGTCAGTTATAATGAGCTGCTTCAAATCATCAAATTTTGTAATATTTAATTCTCTAAGCCAATTTTCAAAATAACTTCTCAGTTCAAAGTAGAAATCACGCCAAGTACTTTCTGGTTTCTTCCGATGTAAAGCGAACAGTTGTCGGAATTTATCAGCGGTCAGCTTATATCTCTTTAGAAGCATTTCCTTCATCTTTTGGTAAGCTCTCGATTCCTCTTCTGGCTCACAAGCAACCAATTTTCTAATTTCTGTTGGTAACGATCCCACTAAATACAGAACTTAAGTTTCTTCTGCAACCTATAAAAACTTCAGTTGTCTCTCAAAAAGAAAAGGCCATGTCATTATTCTTAGGATCATATTTAGGTAAAAGTCTCTCAAGATCCTAACTGGTTTTTCCAACTTCTGCAACAGGACCTGCTGTAGTTGAGAGGGGTATCTTCTGAACTTCAAGTTGAAGTTTCAAGCGTTCCAATTCAAAAGCTTGCTCTTCTTTTTCTTTGGCTAATTTCTCTTCCTTAGCAGCTTCTCCTTGAGCAATAACGTTCTAATTCAGCTTGTTTCTCTTTCTGGATTGTTTTTTCTATTACATTAATTAACCTATTTTTCACACTTTTCATCCTAATTATCGGATTTTGTTATGAGTTCTTTTAATTGTATTGTTACGGATTTGGTATTTAAATAGCTAATGTTAGTTGAATTATAAATTAAATTGCTTTATTCCCCGTGCAGTGTAGCGCGTGACGAATATTATAGGAAAGCTAAGCCGGAAAATTAAAAATACAAGAGCACGTGCATTTACTATTAAATAAATAAATATATCTCATTTTGTTTTCGAGAAAGTTCCAGAAAATTCTCGCGCGCGATATAAAAATCGTATAAAAAGCAGGAAAAACCTCTCAATTCGATGATTAGTTTGTTGTTGTTCTAAGAGTTTGTTTAGAAAACTGCTCTTGTTGACTGTAGCGAATGCGCGGATTAGCTTTCTCTAGCTGTTTTGAATTAAATACTCTTGAATGTTTGAGTAGTTAAAAGATAACTACTGTGAGATATTGTAATACTGCACGAATATTTTAGGAAATTTAAGCATATTTGTTGTGATAATAATAAATTTTTGCTCATTTTTCATCGGACTTGTGCATTCATTTCGTAACCAACCCGTAAGCACGCAACAATTTTTGGTGACAGAAGTGGGATTTGAAGACAAGAGCGATGGAAGAACAGTTCAGGCAGTTGATATCAGCCTTTGCTTCGTTTAAGGAAGAAATGAAAACGGAACAAGAAGAAATGAAAGAAAAGATGGATGCTAGTCAGGAAAAGATGGAAGAATCCGTTAGAAGAGAGATGAAATCTGTTAAAGCGGAAATGAAAGTAGGAATCGAAGAGAGAAATTACTTGCATAATAGAAAACAAGTTCGAAGCTATGGAAGGAAGAACACATACAGCTGAAGACAAAGTTGGAGAAATTCAAGAAAGAGTTTCTGCGGTAGAGCAACAAATTGAACAAAGAGTTTCTGCCGTCCAACAACAAATTGAGGAAAGGGTTTCTGCTACTGTTGCCAAAGAAGTTGACACTTTAAAGAAGAGCATAGCGACAGATGGAGGCAATTCTGAGGGTTTTAAATTCTTGCCGATGCCTGCTCGTCCATCTCTGAAGCTATCTACATATGATGGGAAGACATCCTGGAAAGTGTATAAGACTCAATTTTCGATAGTTGCGGTTGCGAATGGATGGGATTCCGAAGCTAAGGCCGTCATCTCGCTGCTTCTCTGAGAGCAGATATCCTGCAGACACTTCCCGAAAATCAGAGACTAGACTTTGAAGCTCTATCCGGCGCTTTGGGAAAAAGTGTTTGAAAGACTACAGCAGGCTTCAACTAAAATCCCGTCAACAGAAAACCACCGAAACACCTCAGGAGCTCGCCACAGATGTTGAAAGGCTGTCACATCACGCCTTTTCGGAGTGCTTGATAGAAACAAGGGAAATCCTGTTCCTGCAATACTTCATCGATGGCATTCGGGAGCCTGAAATAAAGAAAGCACTGCGAATGGCGGATGTTAAAGATCTGAAAAGCGCTCTAGTGTACGCCATGGAATTCGAGGCAGCCAAGCAAGCCACTCGTAGAGACCGCCATCCAATCAGAACTGCTCAAGTCCAGGAGCCAGGGGATCAAGTCACTGCTCGTCTAGACGATTTAACTAGACAACTGAACGCCTTGAGAACGAATATTGGTGACAAGAAACCGACCGTAAAGTGCTGGAACTGTGGTGCTGAAGGACACATACGACGAAACTGCAGAACACCCCAGGGCACGGATGTTAAGACCGTTCCTAGCAAGCAGCGGGGGAACTAATTAGTGGCCATTTCGCGGGGCGGAGGTTGCCAGATAAAGAAAAGCCTCAGTTGAAAGCGCTTCAAATTTCTGCAGTGAGAGGCGGCAGTAATGGACTGTTCATAATAGGACATATTAATGGAGTTCTCTGTAATATGACGATAGATACGGGAACCAACGTTACCATCATCCGAAAAGATTTGGCTCAACACTTGGGAAGCAAACTTATCTGGACGCCGCCCTGCGTTACCCTCCAGACTGTGTCCGGTGACAAGATCGACATCGACGGAAAAGTAAACGATAACATCACGTTTGGAAGTGCAGCTTACCATCACACGGCATATGTAGCAGAGATCAATGTAGCCCTATTCGGAACTAATGATGGAGTGAAATCTACCCACAAAATTATAGCTCAAGATAATATCACAATACCCGCAAGAACCGAGTTTTTACTTCCTGGATTCATAGCCGAAAATAGTTATTTCCGCTACGGCATCATAGAATATCCCAATAACTGTAATAGCCCGAAAGGAGTACTAGTAGCCTCAACACTCGTCGGCCTATCGAGAACGGTTATCCCGGTGAGAGTTGCCAATGTAACTGAGAAGGCGAGAGTTATTAAGAAAGGTGAAGTGGTTGCAGCATGTACTCCAGTAACCAGCGTTGAAAGACAGAGTAAGATCTCAGATTCCATGTCCTCAGAGAGCATTACATCCGAGTTATTGTAGAATGCGCAATTAAACAATAAAGAGAGGAATGCTGCCGATCGCGTCATTAAAGATCTTTAAGTTGTTTTCTCCCGCTCGTCTTCTGACGTGGGTCGAACCAGTTTGACACAACATAGAATCGATACCGGCGATCATTCCCCGATCAAGCAACATCCAAGACGTTTTGCCGTTTGCTAAGCAGGAAGAGGTGCGAACACTGTTAAAAGGATATGGAAGAAGGCGATGTCATCGAGCCTTCAGCAATTCCATGGGCATCTCCCGTCGTCCTAGTCCGAAGAGAAGAGATGGCTTCAACAAGATTTTGCGTTGACTATCGCCGGTTGAATGAGGTTACGAAGAAAGACAGTTACCCTCTTCCTAGAGTTGACGACATTCTAGATACTCTTTTCTGGAAGCAAGTGGTTCTCAACACTTCATTTAAAGAGTGGGTATTGACAGGTAGAAATACGTCGTGATGACCGAGAAAAGACGGCATTTACTATGGGACAAGACCTTTGACACTTCAAGCTGATGCCATTTGGACTCTGCTATGCACCGGCTACATTC